GGTAGGGCATTGCGCTGTGAGCTCTGCTACTGAGAGCTCAGTGGCAGGATCCAGCGCGCCGAGAGAGGAGGAGGCCTGTTCAGCCGTAAGGAACGGAGACTGCTGCACGGAGGCTGGGCCGAAGAGTGCGTAGGGGGTGGCCGCACCAGCAGGAGGAGGCGCAAAAGGCGAAGGCTGGGTCTGGGGAGACTGCCCGATGATGCCCGTGTCCTTGGCGCCGTGCGGGGTGCCAGGAGCCTTCGAGGCGGGCTGCTCCCCCTCGCTGCGCTGGGACTCGCGGGCCTTGCGAGCCTCGTCCTTCTCGCGCTTCTTGCGCTCCTTGTTGGAAATCCCTTCTGGCTGGACCGCGTGGTCTCCTGGGGGTGCGGGGAGCAAGCCGTACTCCGCTGCCCACGCAGCCACCTGGTCGAAAGATGGCGCAGTTGACGGCGCAGGGCCTTTGCCCGTGTGCACCCCTCCCGCGCTTCCAGAAAAGGAGCGTGGGCCCTTGTGGCCCGGCCCAGGGCCCGCACCCTGCGGGGGCTTGTGCTGCACCTGACCTTTGGCGGGGCCGCCTGTCGCATGCTGAGGACCTGCCGCCCGAGTCGGAAAGCAGGTGGGGCATGAAACGTCCAAAGTGGTATTGGCACGGCCGCGCTGCAGGCAATGCCAGTACTCGGGAGGGGCGCTGCCTTCCTGGTGCACTGGCTGCTGGGGTGGAGGAAAAAAGTCAGTGGGCAGGCGCGTGGCATAAATGGGCGGGGAGGGAGGAGCAGCCATACGCTGCGTGGGGGAGGTAGCCACGCCGTGCTGCTGCAGCCCAGACGTCGGCGAGAGAGGCGTCGCGCGAGGCGGGGGCAAGGTCGTGGGAACAGCGCCTTGCTGCGGGGGACCCTGGAAGGAGTGGTGGTGAGAGAGCATCATCGCGGCTTTGTGCACTCTTAAAAGTGTGCAAGCGTTTGCGCGCTGCTTGCGCGCTCTGCGATGGGGAGCGGGCTTGAGCCAAAATGGCTTGAGCCAAAATGGCTACGGAGAGGAGAGGGGGGTGGATGAAGGGGGGGGAGGGCGTGGAAGAGGGGGGGAGAGGAGAGGGCGGGGGCCGGGGACATGGGGGGCGGGAGGGGCGATGGGCGGGGGAGGCAAGGCGGAGGGGGCGCGGGGGGTGGCAGCCGCGCCGCGAGGCAGCAACCCGTGAAGAGCGAGGGCGAGGAGATGGGGAACGGGGCCCGCGCGTCGGAGGCGGTCGCCCGGAGGGGCGCCGCGAGGCTCGACCTGAACGGCGTTTCCCGTTTTCGTTTCGTTTTCGTTTTCCTTCGTTTCATCGTCGCCCCGCCTTTACCGCAAAACGGAATCGAGGCGAAAGCGGTTCGCGAAATCGCGCGGGCGCCGTTTATGTCGAGCCCTGGGAGGGGGGGGGCGCGGCAGCCCTGGCGAGCAAGCGCGGACGAGCGAAGTGTGGAGGCCTCCCACGTGGGGTCCGAGTAGATGGAAACCTAAGAAACCCAGGGCGCCCCGGAGGCAAGCAAGGTGTTTCTTGGCATGGGCCTCCACTGCGTCTGCTCGGACCCCATCTGAGAGGCCTGGGAAGAGGGCGACTGGCGGCGCGCATGCCCCAGTCATGAAACAGAACGCCGCACCCCGCCCAGGAGCGACAGCCAGATGGGGGGGGGGGGGCGACGCCGTGGCGCGGCGCGCAGAACGGCGCGGGGTGGACGCGATCGGAAGATGAAGAGCAAGACTGGCCTCGGCGCAAATCGGCTCACCCCAGCAGACATCGAGAGGCTGCCAGCTGAAGGTCGCGAGGAGCTGGCGGCCCTTCGAACATTTCGAGGCCGCGCTCGCGTGGCCGCATCAGACGCAACTCATCATCGGTACGCCGTTGCCGAAGAAAGCGCATGGCGACCGCGTCGCCGGCCTCGCTTCGCTGCTCGGTCGTCTTTGGTCGCTTATCCGCGAGGGGCAAGCGAGGGCGCGGGCCGGCGCCGCCGAGGAGGTTGGGGGCGCAACCGCCATCGGCAGAGCTTCCTTCCAGGAAGCTTTGTTCCGCGTTCTGGGAGATGAGCTGGCAGCTGCTCTCAAGATCCAGAACGCCAGCGGGGCGCTGGACATTTGAGGGTTCTGTGGCAGCATCGAGCGGGGCCTTCTCCTCTGGGCAGCGCTACGCTTGGGTTATTCCCCCCTGTAGTGCTGCATATGGAGATGGCGCAATGTTTTGACCCCCGTGCTTTAGAGTGGTTCGGGGGCCGATCGTCCAGGACCTTGAGAGGGGGGGGGGGGGGGCGCAAGGTTCGTGAAATGCCTCGCTCACTTCATTCTGGCCAAGATATCAAGCACTCATGTTTGGCTTGGCCAGCGGATCTGAGTCGGCGACCTTTCTCAGCGCGTGGCCGGGCCCAGCGGCGCCCTTCGTGCGCGGGCGACGACGTGCCTAGCTGATGCGTGGAATGAGCTGGCGAAGTGGACGCTGGATGCCTCGCCTAAGTCTGTCGTCATGCGCTCGGTCCATTGGGGTGCCAAAAAGGATTTCGCGTCGCCATCGTGTCCAAGGCTTGTCGGACAAAGCAATTCTGCAGGCCCTTTTCCTGGGCGTTAATCAAGGATGGGGGGCTCGTCACGCTCGCCGAACCTGTGGCAAGAGAGTAGTCCGGCGCGCCGAGATCCACGGGGAACTTCGGCGGTTTGCACGAGCATCCAGGTTGCATCGCATTGTCGGCATGTGGGGGCGCACTGACGCGGCGGCTGCTGCGAACACTGGGCATCCATCCACGGCGCTTTCGGAGGACCGCTGGAGACCCTCATGCGTAGTATAGCTGCTGTGCGTGGTGCTGCGGGCCGCTGGCTCTGCAAGATTGCGTTGTCAGCTAACGAGGCGTCTGGCTCGGATCCTGGTGCCAAGTATCCTCGCGAGTGTCTCGAATTTTGGCTCGAGCCATGGTTCCTGTCTCCCGGCATCCGCGCGGGGGTCGATCGAGCCCCGCCGCGCGTCGTCGCGCGTTTTCGGGAGCAACCTGCTGCGCAGAGGGTCCGCCGCGTTCGAGGGCCTACGTCTGCACATAATATGTACCTTCTGGAGCGGCAGTGGGATCCCCGCGCGCCCGCAATACGGATCATGCCGAACGGAATGGAGTGGCAATTCACCAAGTCTGGGTATTCCGACATCGTGGCTCTGTTTTGTACCAAGACCTTTTTTGTCTCAGGATTTCGACTTGGCATCTGAGCAGGTGTCGCGGGAAAGAGCTACGCTTCGTTCTGGCGGCAATGGAGGGGTGGACATGGTCTCATTACGCCAGTGGCTGCAACACCTCAAGGAAACCCACTGCGGACGGAGGCTTTCGGAGCTGCTCGCTTCTGTTGCCGCCGGCGGGAGATGGCCGCGTGCTCGGCGAACCAGCCAATTCTTCAAGGTTTTTGTCAGCGATCGTTGCCCCGGGTGCCGCCGGCGCGTGGGGTCTGCTTTCCATCGCATCTGGGAGTGCGAAGGCAACTCTGGTCACGCCAACTATGCTGGATCTGTTTTCTTATTCAGCCAAGCCCAAGCCCAGCATGAGGCTGACGAGGCCTTTTGGCAGAGAGGTCTGCTACCAGCGCGCATGACAGCTACGCTCCCTCCAGCGGAGGATGAGGAGTGGCGATCGACCGACCGGAAGCCGTTGGGCGCGGGCAGCCAGGATCGATCCATCCTGCTCCTCGGCGACGCCAGCGGTGGCGAGGATTCCCGATCAGTCACCCTTCGTCGCGTTAGAGTTGGACTTGCGCAATTCAGCGACGACGGCCACACGAGCTTGCTGGCCACCGTCTCAGGTGCGTTACCTGGGCCTCGGAAGTCGGTGCCGCGCGGTGAGCTGTACATGTTCTGGTGTGCCCTTAGGTGGGCTTCGAATTACATAATCTATGCCACGGAAAATCAAACATAATTTGACGGTTGGCGCGCTGCTCGGGACCAGCATCCCATCGGCGAGAACGCATCTATTTGGGGTCACATTTCCGAATCGCTGGCAGGCCGATGTCGTGGCCATGTCACAGTGTTGTTCACGATCTCATCTCGAAACTGCTGATGCTGTGAACGGTAAAGGTCGGAGCTAGATCATCCGAGGGAACACAGCAGCCGAAGCCCTTGCCGCTGACGAGGTTCGGCGCCACCGTGTCCGTCACACAGTCAGGTTCAGCGTCCAGGAGGCCGAGCTGCAGGCCTTCTGGGTCAGGATGCGCATCTTGCGTGCATCGCTGGACGCTCTGGCGAAGGAGAAGGAGTTGCAGAGCGAGGAGCGGCTGCAGCAGCGGCAACACCGCCGAGGCGCGGGAGCAGCCGAGCAGGCATCGGAGCCAGGTAATTGCAACGGTGAGTCTTTCCCTCCTCCTCCCCCTTCTGCCGCCGCATGCTGCTCCTCCGTCGGCTCTGGCAGTTTCAGTTTTCGAATCCGCTCACGCGTTGGACGAATTCGGGCGTCGATGGCGCCGTAGTCGTGGCTCTGCGTCGAGCTCCCTGGTCCGAGCGTGGAATCGCTCCGAATGTTTAAAACTGATTTCGATTGACGGCTCCCTGAGAGGTCTTCCCGAGGGGGGAGGATACACATCGCTGGGGGGTGGAACCACCCCTCCCACAATGCGCGGTGACACCAAGACCTGGGGGTTTGGTTCCGCGCGTGCTGTGAGATGCATGGGGATCAGCAGTTGTTAGGCCTGGGCAAGGAGTGCCCCGAAAGTGGTGACCCCACTCGCCGAGTTTACCTGGACCGCATATAGATCGGGGGCTCCTCCCCAAGGTCTCCGGTAAAGCCGAGTTAGCACGTAGGGCCCACACGGGGTTCTCCTGAGGCTGATTTCGGACTTCGCCCTGAGACTCCTGACTCCTGACTCCTCCTCCTCCTCCTCATTCGTCCTCCTCCTCCTCCTCCTCGCTCCTCCTACCCCTCTCTGTCTTCCTGGGGGCACGGTGCTGCAGGTCTGCGGGCGAAGCGGCCCAGGCCCGCGCGAAGCTGCCACGAAGCCGCCGCGAGGCAGGCAGGCGCGCGCGCGCCCGCCTGAGCAGAGGGCACCACGGCCTCGAACTTGCCCTGGGTCCTCCGCAGCCCGCGCGGACGGGGGAACACGGGGAGGGTGGTCGGCGGCGAGCAAGGGGGGCGGAGGACGGCCTTCTGAGAGGTTCTCTGTGCCTTCGGGGAAAGCTTTGAAGACTTCTCAGAAGGCCGGGAGTCTTCTCGGAAGGCCAGACCGGGTAACAAGCGACCACTCCACCTGCGACCCCATGGGCCTTGGCACATACCATGAATTTAGGCTTGGGCTTTCGCGTCGTATGACCTACGGGCCTGGGCCGTAACGCAGCATTGCGGGCCGTAGTGGGGTGGTGTCGTTTGTTTGTTGGTCGGGGGGGGAGCACGGGGAGGGGGAGTCGTGGGCGAAACACGTGCCCGCATCCAAGGCCTCGCGGGCCCAGCAGCCTCTCGACCGCGGCTCCGCGGACACGGGGCGCTTTTGTCGCGGACGCCCCGCGCAGAACGTGTGCGTGCGACCGCGTATCCGCGGGATCGCGCCCCGGAATCCAGACCGCAAGGGCGCGGGTACGGATACGTTCGTCGCGCGTGAGGGAGAAGGAGGTCACCTCCCTCCTCGACCTGCTGCGCGCCTACTCCGTGCCCCTGAGGGCTGACCGCACAGTCATCGCGCTACCACAAGGAACGCATGATAAGGGGCGAAGGGGCTTTCCTGGCCACGGCGAGCCTCGGCCACGACTAGGTTCTCTGACCAAAAACCCCTGGACAAGCCCGACAGTGAGAGCCACTCCCGGGCCCAAAGCGGGCCTTACGTAAATGTTTTGGCTATACACTTCCGCGTTCTCTCGACACCACTTCTCGCAAGCGGCACGGACCAAAGGTTTGTGCCACTCGGGCCACCTCGCCCACGTCGCTGTTTACGCCGTGCTTCGCCGCATTGCTGGTCCAACTCTGTTGCTAAAATCCGCGCAGCGTCAAAGGGAAAAGGAGTACTCGGGGAAGATGCTGAGGAGGAGGATGACGTGGCGGGTGAGGAGATGGGCTCTGAACGCTCCTCGAAGCGTATGGGCGAGCGCTGGGTGAGTGGGCTTATGCGGGCCTCTGCGACTTCAACCGAGTAGACGTCCTTTGTGCCCTGCTTGCGGCGGATATCTTTTCCCGAGTGCAACTGGAATCGCTTGAGCCTGAACGCTCACGGATCACTGAGAGAGAAAGATGATGCATACTGCTCACATCCTGAAGCGGTGATGGCAACACGAATATGAGAAGGGGAACCCAATCTTCACACAAGATGCGGGAAGAACATCGCAGAATTATCGCGTGTCGAATGAGCGCGCGGCGAGCGAGCCCGACATGCCGTCCCGTCACGGGCCACACATTGCCACCTGAGCCACCCCTGGGCGCGACGGAACACGGCTGCTGCCTTCTCCCCTTCTCGCGCAGGCTGGCTCCAGCATCGCGGCCGATGATGATGGTTGGGTTTGCGGAAATCCGACGTCTTCACTCTTGAAAGAGCGCACTTCAGGTTCGCTTGCCTCTGACAGTGCCCCACGAATTGGTCTCAAAACATGGCCCTCCTCCAAAAAAGCAAGTTCCCGAGGCCCCCTCCGTAATTTGGGGGCCCGCCTCTCCCCCCAGAGCGAAGGGGGGGGCCAGGGGGGATCCGGGCCCCCCGACTCCCCTGGCGCAAGGGAACCCTTTCCCCGTCGCCGTCGTCGTCGTCGTCGTCATCGTCGTCGTCGTCGTCGTCGTAGTCGTCGCCGTCGTCGTCGTCGTAGTAGCCGCCGTCGTAGCCGCCGTCGCCGTCGTCGTCGTCGCGGCGCGGCTGGAGCGGGTGCGGCAGCAGATCGAGGGCGGCAGTGCCGAGGCGTGCATCTGTCACTGCGGGGGCGGGGAGGGTGGCAGCTCGCGCGAAGGTCAAGATCCTGGTGATGCGTGGCGGCCCGCCGTCCAGGACGTGCCAGCGCGTGCAGCCAGCGCTGCTGGAGTCTGTCATGCGGCTGGTGGCTACGCACTCGGCTGTGGATGGTGGTCACTGCCACGGCGACGACACCAGCGAGATTGCCATCTGGCTCAGTGCTCTTGCAGGCGCTGGTGGTGGCGTTGCTGGTGGTGGGTGGCGAGGTTGGTGGACCTGCTGGGCCCTCTCATGGTGGTCCTTATGCCGAGCAGCCTGCTGCGGGCCAAGGAGCAAGCGGCGCCGCGGGGGCTGCTGAACCAGGAGATTCTGACGAGGGCGGCGGACAGGCATCGGCGGAGATACCCGCAGAGGCGGCGGCAGGGGGTGCGGCGGAGCACGGGACGGGGCTCGTGGGATACGCCGAGGCCGCGGGGGTTGTTTAGGCGCCGCCACCACGCATCTGCCCGAAGACACCGCGGCCGCTCCGCGGCGGCGCCGAGGCGGTCTTGCGCAGGAGGCTCCTGCGCAAGACCGGCGGCCCTGACGGCGGCCTAAATACCAGGGTGGGGTTCATCGAGTTCTTGGGGGATGCCGTCGGCCGCCTCACCTGGGACGAGTGCGCCTGCGAGGAAGGCCGCGCAGCGATGGCCGAGCTGCTGGAGAGGCTCTCGCCCGAGCAGGCGGGCACGCTCCTGGTGCTAAGTGCGGAGGCGGGGTTTTCGCTGAAGGTACCCCCCCTTCCCCCCTTGCGCTGAAGAGCGGGGGTAACGAACTCCCCCCCCTGCACAAGCTCGTAGAAGCTCGTGATCTGATTATATGATACGAAGTCCCGACCCCTTCCCGAGCTCCAGCTTTCCATCAAGAACGATGTAGACACGGAGCCTTGGCAGGGACTCCCAGAGGCCGAATATGGCGAAAGACTTTTGGTACTGTGCATGGCGACCCCGATCCCCGTCGTTGTGGGGTTTTCGAATGGACCAAGCATTCTGGGCAAATCTCGGGGACATGCGATGGGGGAGTGCCCATCCTTGATAGGGGGTGCGTCCACGTAGCCCCCCAGGATGCATTCCTGATATTTTCTTTCTTTATGAGCGGCCCGATGTGGGGTAAACGCTCTGGGATTGGGGGGCGAAACAGCACCTGCGAGTTGGAGCGAGTTGGAGAGGGGCAGCGATAGGCGGGATCACTTCGGGGGGGAAAACATCGACCAAGAATCGGCGATACATCGCCGATACGTCGGCGATAGCAAGTTCCTGGGCGGGGCGGGGCTATCGGGCCCCTACCGGCGGTGAACGGGCGATTGGGGGTCGACGCATCCCCCTTGACCCCATCCCCCCCTGATGTTTCCCTTGAACTGAAAACCAACAGGTACTGATACCGCTGCTCCCTGGACCTCTCCCGGGGTGCGTGCTGACCAGAATTTCGAGGCGAATCCAACAGCAGCGACGAGGGCCTCCCAGGAGGCCCAAGAAAGGGGAACACGAGTGAAAGGTAGCGGTACGGGTACATCTTCTTCCTCTGATTGTAGGTCTGGGGGGGGGGAACTCCTCCTGGCCTCCCCCCCCTCTCCCACGAGGTCTCCCGGAGGCTGCTGGAGAGGGGCGGGAGAGCGGGCCCGAGGAAACGCCAAGTGTGACCGAGGCGGCGTGGGCTCCCGGCCGCGCCGCAGCCCTTCGCCGTGCCCGCGGGGAGCTGGCTCCAGGCGCGGCGGAAGAGCTGCTCGCGGAGCCTGGCGAGGGGGAGGCTCGAGGAGGGGGAGGATCGAGGAGGAGGAGGAGGATGAGGAGTAAAACCTCCCTCCAAGCTCCCTTTTCATAGGCCCCTACAACGATTCATTTCCATTGAGGGAACTGCCTCGACCCTGAAGCATGCCAAAACATTGCTCTCGGGCTTTCAACGCCACGGATCAACCTGACTGTTGCGTCTTGACGATCCTGAATCGTGCCAAACCCCACTAATAGGACTGCAGCAAAGATAATCAAAACAAAAACTATTGCGTCCGCATGCTCCTGAATCCTTCCAAAACACCATGTCTGGTACGTTGATGATGGGAAACCGTAGCTCTCTGGAAACTTTGAAGACCGAATGTGCGCGGCGCTAAGGCGAGAACCACATTTTGAAAACGAGCCGCCTTCAATCCGTGAAACTTTTGCAAATTGTTAGAACGAGTGTGCGCCGCGCGAAGGCGAGAACCACATGTTGAAAACCACCTGCTCTCAATCCGTGAACCTCTTACAAAATCTGAAAACGAATGTGCGTCGCGCTACGGCGAGAGCAACATTTTCAAAAAAAACCGCCCTCAATCCGTGAAGCTGCTGCAAATTGTTGAAACGAATGTGCGCCGCGCTAAAGCGAAAACCACATGTTGAAAACCACTCGCCCCCAATCCGTGAACCTCTCGCAAAATTTGAGAACGAATGTGCGCGGCCCGAAGGCGAGAACAACAGTTTGAAAAGGAACCGCCCTCAACCCGTGAAACTGCTGCAAATTGTTAAAACGACTGCGCCGCGTTAAGGCGAGAGCCACGTTTTGAAAACGGCCCGCCCTCCATCTGTGAAGCTGTTGCCAACCTCTTAAGCATCAGAAGCCTGAATGGTAAGGAGGTCTCAGGCGAAACGCCCTGCCCGCCCTAAAAACTGGCCTCGGGGTGCGATAGGGAGAAGATATTTATAAGGAAAAGGAGCGGAGGAGGAGGAGGAGGAGGAGACCTTAGACCTTAGACCGGCTCATGGAATCCTGACTTTGCACCCTGCCGCACTGCACCACTGCCTGAACTCAAGCTGCAATTCGACACGCACTAGGACTCTGAGGCGGGTCACTACGGACCCCACTTTACTCGCCAAGGCGGGACCTTCGCTCACCCCAGCAGAGGCACTGGCCCCGCCTGACAGGCCAGCGGGCACGCAGCCCGCAAGAGGCCGTCAGCCCACAGGCTCGGGAAGCTCCTCTCCCCCCCCGCCCCCGCTCCGACCCACCACCCCGCCCCCTTCCGCTATCAAACAACGAACGGCTACGAGCCAGCGCTACAGTCGGGATATGCGGCAGCCCAGGGCCACTGTATGTTGCAGCAGTTCGCCCAGGTCGGTCCAGCACATCTGAAGCCACCAATCCTCTAGAAATCAACTCTTGCAGCCGCGAGCTCGTGCCCAAGCTCCGTCGGACTTGTTCGCCCAGGCCATGAGCCCCCGCTCGATGGGCCCCCCTCGGAGCTGAACCCAGCAGGAACTCCCCGCCCTCGGCCTCGATCGCCGCCTCGAGGATTCGAGACGCTTCCACTGCCATTGGTTTGTTGAAGCCCGTCCTCATCATGGTGATGCACCTGTTCTCCTTGCGCAGAGGTTTGCACCTGAAGTGCGGCACTGCACTCCCAATCTCCTTCAGCGGCATCTCCTCCCTCATGTACTGTATCCACCATTCCTTGCTGTCCTGCTTGAATGTCTTCTCGGCCTCCTCCGTGGGCCCCGCTGCAGGAGTTCGCGCGGCACAACGCTGCATCGCCGACGCGAATATATGCATGTGTGGCGGACCCGTCGCATTGAAGTCCTGCTCCGCTCCCTCGGCATGCTTGGCCCTCATGTCTTTGCTCTGGTGGTCGCACTTCTTGCCTGACACCGCCAGGCGCGCTGGAAGCCCTCGGTCGAGGGCGATGTCCCGCCTGAGAAACACGACGCTCGCCACGTCCCCGAGCTCGCGCGTCGCGGTGAGCAGCAGGCGCACGACCTGGGCCACGACCTTCGCCATGTCCTTGCCGCCCTTGCCGCCGTCCTTCTTGGCCGTCTTCGCGCGGCCTCCCGTCGCGCTGCCTGCTGCTCCAGCGCTGGGCGGTTCTGCATTGCCGCCCTCGCGCTTCTTGCCGCTGAACCACGATGGCATCGCCAGCTCCACCTTGGGCTGCTCTCTGACGTGCACTATGTTCGGCACTGAATGGAGGCAACTTCCATGGGAGATGCTCAGAAGCCAAATGGTTACATACATCAGGGAGATCACCAGCTTCATAATCACATAATGGACACTTCAATGATCGAGGCTGAAATAACTCCCCAGTGCCCACGGCCCAGTCGCACAACAACTGCCCCTCAGACTTGAGCCCAAGAGATGCCCCGAAGCTGTGATCTTACTCGAAAATATCTGCCTGCAGTGCACACATATGTTTGTCGGTGTGATCACATGTGCTAGATTACGTGCATTATGCTGAGCCCTGTAGTGATTCATTAATGCTTCACGTGTGTGAGAAGCAGCCCCACATAAACCCGCCTCCGTACTTGCTCTACATCTAAGCTGTGGATCCCCATCAGGAGCTGCTGGAGGCCCCTCAAGCCTTTCAGACGCCAGTAGGGAACCTATTGGTGGGACCTGAGCCCGAGACCTCGAAACCCTGAACACTCCCATATCTAGCATACAAAAATCCTCCATCTCCTCCTCATTTATGATGAGCATGTTCATGTCATTGCGCAGCACGCCAATCGCCTCGCTATCGACGACGCCCGCGGCAAACCCGAGATCGTGCGTCATCTGGCTCAGCCGCGGGGGCGCTGCCTCAGATGGGGCCCCCTCGAGCAACTGCGGTGGGAAACCACGCTCTGCCTCGCCCTCTAGGTCCCCGAACATCGCGCGCAACGGCTGGATGTGATGATCGGGTCTCGCCGCCCAACTCCGGTACCACTTCAACCGACGAATTCTCGTCTCACACTCGCTGTCCATGAGTCGCCAATAGAGGAGGACCTGGGAGTGGGAAAGGAACCTCGCGTGATTTTCCTCCTTGTGCGCGGCGCGATCAAGCATCGCAGCTCGAGTCAGTGAGGCCAAGCAGCTGTCCAGGCGACGGTAGTCGGCCTTGCTGAGCTCAAACGCTTCCAAGCCAGAGATGAAGGCATTCTGCACATTGCCCACCAGCAAGAGCTTGCGCAGCTTAAAAGGGATCACCGGCGACCAGATGCCGCCGACTCTGTAGAATGCAGTCCGCGCTGCCGAGCATCTCCTAGTGACCTCCTGATGACTAGAGTCGCGCACCCGAATGTGGGGCCCCAGGTACCGCGCACCATCCTTGAGTTTGCCCCGGATGCCCGAGGTACCTTTCCGAACCATCTGTCGAGCGCGATTCCCCTGGGACGCGAAGTACGTCAAAAACTCTTGCTTCCCTAAGTTCTGAACGCGCCCGAACGGCTGCGACACCGAATCGAAAACCTCGTCCATCTCACGAACCTTCCCGAATAGGTCCCCCAGGGTCATCTCGTCGGAGGCCGCTACCGTTTTCTTTACACCATCTGCGTATTTCAACAAACTGCGGTCACTCTGGAAATCCTGCCATTTCGCCGCCAAGAAGCGGGACATCGGGTCTGACCGACTCCACTGATAAGCCCATTGAAGCGTGGCCCGAGAAAAAGTACATAGGAACGCGGCCACAGTGAACGGGGCCCCCCATGACGCCGCCCTGGAATGGCTTGACCAACAGGGCGCCCTCTTCCGCAGTGAATTCAACCATGCTATTCTCGTAGCGCTGCTGACAGAAGGCACGGTTCTCCTCCGAGGTGGAGTGGGCGATAGTGATCTCTAATTCGGACCAGTCCGAGCTCCCAAAGGCGCTTGTCATATCCTTGGGGCTCATCGCGAAAGATCGCCGAAGACGGCGCGCTCGCCAGCAATTCACCTGGGCGATGAAATTACTCCGACGGTAGGACCCCGCATGAGAATCTGTTTAGCTTACCCTTTGCCCTTTGCTTCCCCCCCTCCTGGCGGACACCCTCTCCTCTCGCCCCCTGCGCTGCCCCCTCTTCCCCCTTCTATTTCTCTTCCTCCTCCTCTTTCTCCTCCTCCTCCTCCTCCTCCTCCTCTCGCGCCACCTCCTCCTTGTCGTCGCCCCCCCCCCCCCCCCCCCGTGCCCCTTCCCTCCTCGCCCCCCTGCCTCTTCTCCATGTGCACCTCCCCTTCCTCCTCGTCGGGGCAAGCAAATCCATTTTCCTCAGCGCCGTCGCCGCCTCGGCCAGCGCCTCGGGGAGCGGGCCCCATAGGGAGGGGCCCCCCGCCTGAGACTTCCTCACAATTCACTCACAGACGAGGCTCCCGCTCGAGACTTCCTCCATATTCAGGTCTCAAGAGCCCAAAAGTGACGACAGTTGCACGTTGCGGATGACCCGCTCGGATTCGAACATGAAGTGCGGGCCCCATACGGAGGGGGCCCCCGCCTGAGACTTCCTTGCAATTCGCTCACAGACGAAGCCCCCGCTCGAGACTTCCTCCACATTCAGGCCTCAAGAGCCCAAACGTGACGACAGTTACACGTTTCGGATGACCCGCTCGGATTACCAACATGAAATGCGGGCCCCATAAGGAGGAGGCCCCCGCCTGAGACTTCCTCGCAATTCACTCACAGAAGAGGCTCCCGCTCGAGACTTCCTCCATATTCAGGCCTCAAGAGCACAAAAGTGACGACAGTTACACGTTTCGGATGACCCGCTCGGATTCGAACATGAAATGCGGGCCCCATAGGGAGTGGGCCCCCGCCTGAGACTTCCTCGCAATTCACTCGCAGACGAGGCTCCCGCTCGAGACTTCCTCCATATTCAAGCCTCAAGAGCCCAAAAGTGACGACAGTTACACGTTTCGGATGACCCGCTCCAACATGAAGTGCGGGCCCGGGCTCCCGCCTGAGACTTCCTCGCAATTCACTCACAGACGAGGCTCCCGCTCGAGACTTCCTCCATATTCAGGCCTCAAGAGTCCAAAAGTGAC